TACAAAGGCTTATGCTCAACGAGGTCAAGAAGGAGATAGGCTCGACTCGACCCTCTTTACTTTACTTGAAGAAGGACAAGGCTTGCTCGGGCTCGGCTTAATTCGAACGTTTATTGTCTTGATTGGGTTCAACTTACCCTTCACGATCAGCTATGATAAATTCAAGACTCGGACTTGACTTTTCCTTTTAAGAATATTTGTGCTCAAATGAATCCTAACAAACTTAGGCTCGACTCAATCCTTAGATGGAATTGTGCTCAACTAAGGTCAACTTGGCACTTAAAGGGAATTATGCTCGAAAGAGGTCAATACTCATTCTGAATTGACTCAGCTTTCGAATAAATTACTTAGGCACGAGGCTAGAACTTATTTAGGCTCAACTAGGTCATTTAAGTTGATCATAAGTGCTGAATAACTAAGCAAGTTTCAAAATCTTTCGAGCATAGTTTCCAGGATTATTCTACTTGTATATTAAGAGTTACATCAATGATTACATAATATATGTGGCATCTAGTTATTGATTGGAGGAAAAAAAAACTAATTTCCTCCAACCAATGACATAATGGCACATATAAATTATGTAATGCTGGACGTACCAGTAGCAAAGTCCTAGTTTCCATTAAAGGTTGAATGAAGCCTCAATGAGACCTTATATGAATGTAATTTCCTCAATGTGCTTTCAACAACATTCAAGCTTGAGCAAAACTCGACATATAATATCTTGAACGAGGTACCGTGAACTTGACTTGGTCCTTGAGAAAAAATCATATTAGACAAGGTCGAAATTCCCTCGAGATTGTTTAAACTTAAAAGGCTTTGTGCTCGAATGAGGTCAATACACAGTTGGCTCAACTCGACCATGTTTAAAGGAATTATGCCTCGAAAAAAAGGTAAAGATCACTTTGGATACTAGAAACCCTTCAAATTAGGTTGAAATTCACTTGAGCTCAACTCGACCCCGGGACTAATTACGCTCGAAGAAGGGCGAAACTTACTCGTGTTTGACTCAATCCTTATGATTATTTATTCTTAACTGGTTGATCGACCTTTAGAAAAAATTATACCAGTCAAGATTGTGATACATTTGGGTTCAACTCGACTCTCACAGTCAGTATGATGAGGTCAAAATTTGTGCTCAAACGGATCTAACTAATGCTCGACTCGATGCTCAGATAACACTGTGCTCAAATGCTCCGACTTGGCACTTAAATGGGAATTAAGCTTGAATGTGGTCAATAATGCGATCCTACTTAACTCGATCTTCGACTAATTTATTTTCGAACCAGGCTAAAACTTATTTAGGCTTGACTAGGACCTTGCTTTTTTTGTTTGAATGAGGTCGAGCTTGCTTGGTCTATAATGGAATTGGAATGATTTTCCACCTTAGCCTATCAAACGGACTCTTAGTGAAATGGGTAGTTCATTATACTTAGGAGATGAAAAATAATTTTTTTAAAATTTAATAAAAAAAATAGAGTATGGGTAGTTCGCGAGTCGCTTTGACTCGCCCTATATGCGAGCACGAGTTACCTTGCTCTACCGGTCGAGTCGAACTGAGTGGCTTGGCTCCACCCGTCTAAAACCCCTAGTTCAATGTCTGTTTTGTGCAATTAGCGATGAATTTTTTGCTTCCGCCTCTTGCTATTCTACAATTACTAATTAAATTTTAAAGTTCTTTACAGAACTCCAAAAAAATTTATGTTTCTACAAAACAACACACTGAATATCGTTTATTTGTAGAAGTATTTTTAAATAAATATGCTGAATTCGAATCAGTAGTTTAGAAGCATAGAATTAATTAATTCGAATAATTATTTCTCAAATTTCAAACTTCTCCAAAACTTTCCCAAAAAATCCATTATTATGGAAACAAAATTATTTCGATTAAGTCCTAACTGAAATAATCATGCATATAAAATCCTAAGATAATTCAAATTACATGTCAACTACCATAAAATAATAAGATAATTTATTATGTTATATAATCAAGGTAATTTACTTAAAATTAAAAGTTAATATTTTTTACTGATAAGTCAATTTTACAATTACATGTTAATTTTGTAATTTTAAATAACTTATACACATAAGTGAATTAATATAAGTAACTTTTAATATTTTATAAATAAATTAATGTCTCATTAGTAGTAATTTTACTTTACAAATAAATTTATACAAAAATAATTTTTATCTTATAAGTAAATTTTTTAATTGCAAAGTAATTTTTTGCTTATAAATAATTTTTTTAGTTAATATATTTTTATTTACAAGTTAATTTTG